TTATGCAAAGCCCTCAGCTCTCATCTTGAAAGAAATAAGAGAGTTTGTTTATTCTGGGGACATTCTGAGTGACCACAGCTCAGGAACACAGATACACCCCCCCAACACCTTCGCTACCGTAAACTCTATGCTGTAATGGGGGGGGGAGGAGGGATTTCCATGAAGTTTGTTTTATAGAACAAAGAAAGTCACAAATCAAGGCAAGCTTAAAACATATTGGTGGGCACATCACAGAAGTGGTAACTTTTCTATAGACCCAGGATGCTATATGATGACATTCTTAGCTTTTGGGGCGATCGAAGCCTGTAGGGTCTTGCTACATTAAGAGATTCCAAAGGTTTTTATTTATTAATCATAGGATGTGAGTTCTGACAGAGAAGTGGCTGCTCCAAGAATAAAGCTAGCTCAAGATAAGATAGTGTCAGGACATGTAACATCTGGGTCTCTCCACAGCTCCTGATTTGTCCATCAGCCTCTGAAGACACAGCGTCTATCCAGGAGTTCACACCACTTGCTTTTACCTTATGATTAGTTCTTTGGTGAGACCACCCAACTTCAAGCCACTTTAAACACAGGCCCACAATGTCCTAATGTGTACCTCCAGAGGAGACCTTTTTTTCTTAAACAACAGATTCAAACATTCAGTTGCCTACTTGACATCTCCACTTTGCTTAATGTGTGTTTCAAAATTAGAAAGTCTAAAACCGTGTAGCAAGCAAGACTAAGCTAGATTTGTTAGTTTAGACTGTCTGGGCTAGACAAGTAGAAATTAGGCTGTCTAGACTAGTGAGTCTAAAACTGAACTTCTGATACCCCCAAATCTACCCCTGCTCCACTGTCTCTGCAGCCTTTCCCCCGTCTCCATTGACAGAAACTCCCTTACTTCAGGTGAATGCCCAAAGGTCTTGCAGCCATTTGTCATTGTGTCATCCATCCTACTGCTATCAAACATGCCCTAGATCCCTTTTATTCCACTTTTTGAGTATAGACAGGCTATCGCTTCCTGCTTCTACAGTTCCCATCCTGGGGTATGTCATAGTTTTCTCTTGCCTGTATTACTGAAAACAATAACAAGCCCTCCAGGTGTGGTGCAGCCTATGAGGAAGCTCACCACATTGTGGAGGCAGAAGCAGGAGGACAATCAAGCAAACAAGCACACCACCAATTTTCTACTTCTGTCATCTCCTTCCTACAGTTTGCTGCTCACGAATGCTAGATTCTACCAGCTGTTGAAAACCCCCTCAGTGTTTTGTGCTGAAGCCAGCCTTTGTCATTTGCCCCAGCATCCTGCCTGATGTGCAGCATCCTGGTCTGCCATTCTCTACTCTGTCCCAGGCACCTTTGCTGGTCTTCTCCTGCCTCTGACAGAGGTCCTACCACCTACCTATTCCTTCTGCCTGGAACATTCCTCCATCACCTTTAAAAACTTGCTTAACTCTCACAATCTCACTGAGACCTGTTCTAATTAAAGACATAAAGCAAGCTGGGGGATTGTTCAGTGCTTAAAGTACAAGTGCAATAGAGGGGTACAATGAAATCACAGAGCCCAACCACCCCATGGGCAAAAGGGAAGATTTATTGGGGACCAAAAAGCAAGCAGAGTTTATGAGTCACCGGGGTTGGAGCTTTGAGCTGATACTAGTTGTTGGGATTGACAGGTAACTAGTACCCTTGCTGGAAGTGGTTGACTTTTGCGGAGAGGCCCAGGTCTCTGACAAAAGAAACCCCTTAAAGAGACCTGTTTTTCTAGTAAACAGAAATCTTTAAGGTTGTTTACCTGATAACAGCCCTTCTTCACCCATCCAAAGTCTGTTTAGGACATCACAGTACTGACAGTTTGGGGTACCACTTTGGACCTAACAGTAAGAAGGCTGGTGTTTGGATTCCTAGCCCACATATGTTCTGGGTGGGTATGGCAGCTGGTGATTCCAGCCTCAGAAAGTAGAGATCAGGGATCCCTGGAGCAGGCTGGCTGGATAGACAAGCCAGAACTTCAGATCTGGGTTTGATTGAGAGACCTTGACTCAAAAAGAATAAAGATGTAGAGTGATTTAGGACATCAACATTGGGCCTCTAACATGCATGAACATACATACATGAGCCTCCGCATATGCAAGCATGCATACATATACACACCCACTCACATCGCATGAAGAGAAATAAAAGGGGGGGAAATAAAACAAAATCTAGTCTCCTACTCCACAATCACTTTGTTGTTGAACTTGGGGGGGGGGTTACAAGCCAGTTTTGGCCACCTGTCCTCAATAAGTCAATTAAGAGTCAAATTAATGTTGGAAATCAGAAACAGATGTATTCAATGCAGCCGCATTGGCAAGAGCAACTCCCTGAAATACATCTTAGTGTCCTGAAGTGAAATTAAAGATCAAAGCTAAAGAAATACACATCCATGTAGTCAAGGTCAACGTGTGATCCTGCCTACCCTGGCCCATTATCTGGGCTCCATTCTTACCCGGTAAGGTGGTCTGCTATGGTTAAAACTGTGAAGTCTGTGTGGCAAGTTCTCCCTCTGGCTGGGGCCCTCTCCTTCTCCCAGTAGATTCCTGGGGAAATTTCCATTTCTTTGGGGTTCATTGTCTCAATAGGTGACAGATAGAGTCACAGGTGTCTCTCTAAGTATCTCATTTCTCCCAGGCTGGCACTTTCCAATCTTCAGTCACCACAACTGTTACAACCTAGCAAATAAACGATGTAGGTTGTTTCTTAGGCACCTCCCCCCTCCACTAAATGTTTGAATTCAGCTTTGGGTCATGAATGTGCTTCAGGCTCAGAACAGCTCTGTGATGATTAATCCTGATAGCTTGATGGGGTTTAGAGTCACCATGGAAACAAACCTCCCGGAAAGTCTGTGAGGGAATTTCTAGATTACGTGGGAAGACTCACCCTTAATGTGGGCTGACAGCATTGTCATGGGCTGGGGTCCTGGACTAAATGTAAAGAAAATCAAGATGAACAGCAGCATCCATTGCTTTCTGTTTCCTGACTGTGGATAGAATGTGACCAACTACTTCATGATCTTGCCACCATGCCTTTGCAAGTTTGACGGACTGTAATGTCAAACCCCGAGTCAAAATACACTTGTTCTTATGTTGCTTTTAGCAGGTGTTTTGTGGCAGCAGAAAGAACTGATTAATACAAGTGCTTTGGTAACAGTAGGTATGTAGTGCTTATTGTAAGATAGAAGTATGAGGCAGTTCAGGGTCAAAGGTTCACATCATTGAAGCCCCATGAGCCCCCATTCTGACCAGCAGTGGTATATGGAATTTCAGGAATGAGGGCTAATAGAGGGCAACTGTCAGTCGGCAATGGAAAGAGATGTCTAGATGTTCCCTTGCTTGGAGAGCAGTTATTTTAATTGGTCATAATTCTTTACTTGGAGGGCTGAGGTGTCTCTCCCTTCCTTTCATTTGAAGGATGTACAGTGTTAAGACTTAATGTGGAATTGGTTAATGTAGTATAACTTGTGGTTACAAGTGGAGCCGAATCATTGTTTTTCAGCTGTGCATAAGAAGTGAGACTCTTTAGACATCCCTGTAGTTGGTGTTGAGTGGAGTCCAGGAATGTTCAACTTAGTCTTCCTTACCCACGGTCCTGGGGATGAGACATGTAGGGTAGCACTCAGGCCTTGGGTTCACTTGTGTCTGTGCCAATGACAGCTGTTTCTTTACCTCTCTCATGCTGCGCTCTTCTTCCCTACTGAGATCAGGCTTACTGTGACAACAGTATCCTACATCTCTCACCTCCACAATCCAGGCCCTAGACAGATTTTTCTGCCATCAATCTGTAACAGAGGGCACAGATTTTGGACTTTGGGAGAGAGCAGAATTGAAGGGTGGGCAAATATGGTTAAGTTCATTCCAATGCCTCCCTACATAAGGCTTTTGAATTCTTGATTTCTGGTTAGAGCCCTCTGTCTTAGCCAGTGTTCTACTGCTGTGAAGAGGCACCAAGACCTGCCACCAGCTTGCTACATTGCTATCTGTCTTTGATCCAGCCAGTCTACACAAACAACAACACGCTCACATTTCTGGGGGCTTTTTGCTTAAAATCTGTAATTGTAATTGTCTAACTCCATATTAGCATCCTAGTTGTTAAGAAGCAAATCTATAGAGTTTGAGCAAAAGCAGAAGGTATTCAAAGTTAGCATGTAGCATTCCAAGTTCACCTAGCAAAGCTAGAAAGCCAAGCTAGAAGCTAAAACTCCAGGGCAGGCAAAGACTACCTTGCTTCTGCTGCTGCTGCTACTACACACAGATGCACGACTTGCCCTAGTGAATGTACCATCACGGGGGCAGGGCTAGGATAAACACCATACCCTATTTGAAAGACAAATTATGGGGGAGAGGAGAATCACAAGGTGGGGAATTCCTAAACATAGGAAGGTTGTTCAAATGGTATCAAAACCTGACAAAAAAATGAGTTACTATATAAAAAGTCAAGTAAGAAAACATATGTTCACTGTCATCCAATTTCTCTTTCTCAAGCAGTAAACACAAGAAACACATTGAATCTTTATAAAGGAGAGTACAGAAACAATATATTAATGCTTTTTCAAAAAAGCAAATTCCAGGGGCTAGAGAGATGGCTCAGTGGATAACAATACTTACTGCTCTTGTAGAGGACCTGGATTTAGTTCCCAGCAACCTCATGGCAGCTTACCACCATCTGTAACCGCCATCCAGTTCTAGGAGATAGGATGATCTCTTCTGGTATCCATCAACACTGTACACATGGTGTGCACAAACATCTACGTAGGCACTCATACACAGACATAAAATATACATTTTTAAAAAAAGAAAAATTCATTTTCATCATGCTGAGGGATTCCAGCTTACTTTTTTGTGTTTTTTGTTTGTTTGTTTTTTTGCTTTTGAGGCAGGGTTTCTCTGTATTGCTTTGGAGCCTGTCCTGGAACTCACTCTGTAGACCTGGCTGGCCTTGAACTCACAGAGATCTGCCTGCCTCTGCCTCTGGAATGCTGGGATAAAAGGCATGTGCCACCAACGCCCGGGCTTCTAGCTTACTCTTACCTGATATTTTACAAAATAAGTCATCAATTACGGCAAATAAAAATTATTTTCATTTCAATGGAGAAGCAAAGTATAGGTTAAAAAAACTCAGGTTTAATATGTAAAAAAAGTTACACATAGAAGTGTCCTCATTTGTAAAGTTTGATTTCTGGGATGAAGTCGTTTTTATATTGAGTCTTTTCAAAATCTCCACCAACTGTTCTTTGCCAAGAACACTGAGTACTGGAGAGCAGGAAGCCTTATTCAACAAGTGTGTTCCCTGCACACATCCATCTGCAGGGGCAGCGCACTTGGAGCTCTGGGGGAATCCTGGAGACAGGGGGATTGTTGCAGGGCTGCCATCTCAGGCTGTGCGCCTGGCTCATGGCATCCAGCTGGAGACAGTCCGGAAGCATGTGCCTTCTTGTATTTACAGATGAATGCATCCGTTTTCCCAAGGCTAACTTTGAAGCACTCCACTGGCACCAGCGAGCCACAGGGCAACACTCTGCTTGGGCACTGGGAGCTACTGGCTTGATGTGAAGGTGACGCCATGTCTGATGTGCCAGCTCTTTTGTCAGGGTTCAATGGCATCTTCATCTCAGAGTCAGTGATACTGTCCTGGGAAGTCAAGGGGATGCTGCTGCCTCCACAGTCTCTAAGGTGCCTGTGGTGATCCTCACTGAGCAACAAGACCATAGCCCCACCATCACGCAGCACTCTGTGACCAAAAAAAAAAAGAAAGGGAAATTGGGATGGATATTTCTTTTTTTCTGAAACAACAAACAATCCTGGCTTATTTAAAATAGTTGTTAATCTGAAATCTAATTTCATCTATTTAAGTACAAGGGTTTTGATAATTAGGTAGCATCTTCTATAATGCATATTCATTATAGTAATTATAGAATCTCTAGTACAAATCTGCTTTAATTATCTATTTTTGCTCTACTTAAAAGGCAAGCTTCAAAGTAAACTGTAGTCACATTCTAACAAAGGACTGTGTAACAGGGGAGGGAAATGGCAGAGTCCCATGGAACCAACATATTCAAGAAAGCAAAGGCTGACTGATGACAGAGGTCACCAGGGAGGGGTTGGGACATGAACAAAAGGACAGTTAAAGAAGACTTCATAAAGGGAGGACCCCGAATCATCGGCTTTTGAGTTTACTCACTCAGTCACTCAAGCGCTGTCAGTGACACATGTGTGGGGACAGTGATGGAAGAGCATGAACAGTTTGTGAGAGGCTGAAGGACCACAGCAGTGAGGGGGAGGCAAGCAGCGGTTAAGGAGGGAAGCTGGTGGGCGCACACTTGAGAGGCCCAGGAGAGACAGGAAGGGGCCAAGGCTGGGAGGCAGTGTGAGTAGGAACAACAGAAGGAGGGGAGCAGAGCTCAGTCTGGAAAACGATGCCACTGAGGGTCGGTACCAAAGAACAGCTCGGGGTTCTGAGACCAGGCCTGAGGCAGGAGTACTTACTGGTTATGAGTAACTTTGCCGCTTCATTACTCACTGAACATTGGTATGTAAAAAACATGGCCCTTTCAAAATATTCTTTTACAACTTCCAAATTTTACTGGAAACTGTTTCTTCTCTGAGACCATTCCAGGCCTTTTTAGCATATAAAGAGTTCTCCTTTCTTCAAGGTGCATTTCAAATTGTGTCTATGTTCTTTACATTGAAATAATTGAGAAGAAAGCTCAAATGCTCCATTTAATTTCCATCTGTGTTCAGTCCTGATGAAATGGTTACTGAGCTAGTTGCACACAAAGCTCAAGCCATCACAGCAATCGTTATCTGACCATCTGATTCTGATCCATAGTCCTTCCTGGGGACCCCCGTTCTGTCCAACAAATAGAGCCACCTATTTCCATTGCTATTACCATCAGGTTTACTAAGAATGTTTTCCCCTTAATTTTAGTGACACAAGTCCTTTTTGATTTTAAGATGTCTAGACCCACAAATACCCCTGAATTATTGTAAGACAAGCTATATGTATTTAACTATGGATATATGTCCCCTTATACTTTCCAAGAAGTGGCTTATACTAGGAAGTCTGGGTAGGAGCTAAGATGCTGAGCACTGTCCAGTGCCAAGAGAGCTTTAGATCATGCAATCCCCTGAACAACATTTGAAGGCCTTTATTATGATACCAAAGTTAGATATGAAGTGGTCAGGCAACCTGCTTATGCCTGAGGGATTAGAGAGTGACACAGCCGAGACTGGATTCGGTTGCCTGTTGGAACCTAAAACTATGGAAGGCTAAAGTCAGGTCGCAAAAGCTGAGGGCAGGTAGCAAGGGAACAGGGACAAAGGAGAAGGAAAACCCTTACATCCAGATGCACATGATTTGAACTGGACCTCCTGAGGTACTCCTAATCACGAAGGGAATCTTGAATATTCACCTTCCTGACTCTGATAAATCTTTAAATTACTGACAGTGGGCAGGTGGGACATCCATTACTGCCTCACTTCCACAGAAACTTCCATATGATGACAGAGACTTCTGACCTCTCTATACATGAACAAACACACATGCACACACACAAATGAGAAACATGACTCGCCTCATTGACAAGAGGCAGTGAGAGGGCTAACAGGAGGGATTGCAGGAAAGCTAACAGGAGTGATTACAGGAGGGCTAAGAGGAGAGATTACAGGGGAGCTGACAGGAGAGCTAACAGGAGGGATTACAGGCAGGCTTAGACCTTGAGCCAGGTTATGGCTTCCTCACAGAATGTTAGCCTTGACATTCTGCTCTTTCCAAAATATATGCTCAGTTGGTGACATATTACTCCCATGGCAGGCTCATAACACTCATGTTCTAGTCCATCAACTGTCCAGATGACATAATCTATCATGGATTAATCCCTTATTTTTGTCTATTCCTGTATCAACGCAAATGGCTGGAAAATGTTTATTTAGTCCTCACTGTTTGAACATCTCCAAAAAACATTTCCGTTAAATGACATCCCGAGGTCAGCAATGGACAGCTTGGTATGAACACTATTCTGCACTTCCATCTCATGCCAGCAATGGTCCTGCCACTGCCATTCTGGCCTGAGGTTCAGCAGCTGTCACCAGGCACAGGTTAATCTTTCTGGGCCCCAGTTCCTCATCTGTGAAGTGTGGGTCTGACCCAGAGGAAGCACATATTGAAATTATCCACCCTGGTGACTCGAACAAAAGTCTTTTTTTTCCCCCCCACAATAAAATTAATGGTATAAGAACACACAGAAAACATGGTTTTAAACTTCTAACTTTCATAAAATCAAACACTAAAATTTTGGGAAATTACTCCTCTGTGAACAGACTTAAGGGCAATGATATATTTTGACTAAATGTTCTGTAGTTAAAAAAAAAAAAAAAGTAATTCCACAACTTACCTTTCCATTTCTTGTAGAATGCTTTTGATGTCTTTTCCTAACTTGAACTTTTTCCCAAATGGGATGTCGGAAATAATGACATCCACACTCTGTGAAGGCAGCGGTAGCTCTGTAATGCAGAAACCAGAGTCTGTGGTTATGGCAAAGTCAGGCACTGACCACCCTAACAAGACACTGACCTATGAGGACTTTTAAAAAATACTCAATAAAATTGAGAGTTTCTATATTGCTGCTATGAGATGACAAGCCTCTCAATGCTTTGGAGATCCAAGATAAAGAGCAGCAAGATTATTGTGTGACTGGCCCTGGTCTGGAGGGCCACTGGCAGGGGAAACCCAGAGGGCCAGAGTCTCCGATTGCTTTTTTATTTTCAGCAAAGGTCTTTAAATCCGTATAACTAGGCCTCTCTGTTCTTCCCTTCCTCCAGCACTAGGTCTCACAGTTCACAGCATCAGTATCTACAGGAAGTACTACTGACTGCAGGTGTTGTTCACCTAGTGGCATCTACAACAGACCGTGGACCAGAGACTGGACCAGCACAGATTCATAAGCCAGCACACATAGTGCTCTGAGCTACCTGTGGATGGATCACCTGTAACTAAGGACAAGGCCTTAAAATAGGTACAGCAGAAGCAAACAAGGAAACAGTTCTGTTTTACATCTCTAAAGGATGATTTAAGAATGGAAAAACGTTTTGTTTTAAAACCATGGGTCTTTTGAGCAAAATAACTGAGTTTTCTTTTTTCTTTTTTTTTTTTTCTGGCAAACAAATGGGTAAGAAACTACTTAAAATATAGGACTTTGGAGCTAGGATTCTTCCTTACAAGCGTTACAGACCTTCAGGTATGTTATCATGCATGTATGTAGAGTTAGTTGGAGGAGGACATTTCTAGAAGCGGGGACTCTTCCCCCTCTATTCTTTCCTTGTATTTTCTGCAACTTGTCATCCCCTTCTGGATCCAGGTTTGGAACACTCATGTTCCGTCAGAAACAGTCATTCTCTTGGTTGTTTAAAGTTAGTTCTATATTTAATTGCACCCAATCATCTTGTCCTGACTCTCTCTGTTCCTCAGCTGATTCATCTTTTCTATACCTGCATTTTATTAGATACCTTCCCACCACTCACAGGCCCCAAAAGGCTTATTAGTGAGATGTTCCCTGAACATCTAACATCTGAAAATGTCTGTGCTAACATGCCATTGTGGATGGCAGGTCAGTAACCCTGAAAAAAGGACCATGGATCCCTGAAAACAGACACCACACTGGAAACTGTGTTAGAACTTGTTTCTTCCCATGATGGCCAAAAGCAATGGAGAAGCTTTTCTCACTGGCTCATCACCTTCCCTAGTTCAGCTGCTGCTGGGTCTTCTATGCTTATTATTCTTGTTCATTTCAATTAAGTACAGGGAGGTGTAAACAATGCCGTCCCTCAGGCCTGCAAGGAGCCAAGGAGAAAGTAGACCTATTTAAAAGCCAGGCTCTCAGACAACTCAGGAAGCCATTCTCTTACAGGTCTAATCAGACTCACGAGAACCTGACTGGGTCATCTCTGTTTACTCTAGAAATCTGGGTCTTAAGACAGAGCAAATGGTCATCAGCTGAAAACAACCATGAGCATGTGATTAGCCTAAGTCTTTCCTTGAGGTAGCTTTATGAAGCTTCTCTACAAAACTGACCCTAATATTTATTTTCTCCTATGGTACTCATTTCTGCTGCTGCTGCTGCTCTCTCTCTCTCTCTCTCTCTCTCTCTCTCTCTCTCTCTCTCTCTCTCTCTCTGTCTCTCTAGTAGAGAAACTATAAAATCACATTCTGTTCTTTTGGATTACAGGTTCAATATTTACACGATATATCTTCCACAGCAGAATTAAATGAGGTGCTTTGTAAGAAGAGTGTGATTTGAAGGAATGGCAAGCAAAGAGCCCTGTGATGCTCTGCTAAGACAGTGCCGGACCTCAGAGGTTAGGGAGATAGGACAGGGACTCTGCATGCTTGGTGCCTGCTCCCATCTGCTACTGCTGATTCCCTATCAACAAAGAGGGGGGTGACAGTCACATCCATCCAGGCTTGCTCCAGACCTCCCTGGGTTCTTGAAAGTATTGGTTTAGCACCCATGGGTGGGTGACTAACTCACTTCTCTGTGTCCAATGCGAAGCAAAGGACTGGGTAATTCATTTCATTCAGTGCACATGAAAGAAATTCAAATAATTTCTTCTCCTTCTAATATTCTATATTATGGTTGCATCCTTTCATTCCAGGTCAGGAGAGGACAATGGCTCAGTTGTAGCAAACACATCTTCAAAAAGTGTGCTCCAGCTTAACGGATATGGGAACATCATAAATACCACTTCCCAATCAGGGATATTTTGGAAAAAACAAAACAAAACATCAAACAACTATAGTAGTGGAAGAAAAGCATATGTTAGCCCCACAGCCCTTCCACAGGGTATAGGCAACCAACCATGCACAAACAGAGTGGCTCTTTTTTTGTTTCTACTATCTTACCTGTAACAGAGACTTGAAGTAAGTCAATCTTGCCTGCAAGGCCTGCAGCCTTCAGATTGTCACATGCACCAAGTAACTGTGAGTTGCTGACATCAGCACCCATGTAATATACATCCTATGTGAAAGAAGTCCATATTTAAGTATAAATAATCCATTAAGTATTTCCATAATTAGGAACATCTTACAGATGCCTAAGGAATTTGGAAATTAGTATAATAATAGGTGTGAATAATTATCATAATCCTGTCATATTTTCTTAAATTCTTCATAGCATTTAAAAAATATAGGAATTTAATTAACTTTTCAAAATCTCTTATAATTATAGTAAATAGGAACTTGTATAATTACAACAATCCAAAACCAGACTACCTACTATCTACTTATAAAATATTTAATTATTAAAACAACTAAAACAATTATTAGATCAAACTTTGCAACTTACTGGCCACTCTTCAGCAGCTTCCACAAGGATGGTCCCAAGGCCACACATTGGATCCAGAACCAGTGCTCCGGCCTAAACAGAAATAGAAATTGTTGTTAATAAGTCTGCTGCAATAGGTCTACTGCAAAAGAAGCCTAAACCTGGGGAATCATTATTTCAGGAGTCAAGATTCCTTCTTACACTCTAGGAGACTTTCAGGCAGCTCAAGTCCTATGGCAAGACTGCACTTGTCATGGCTGAAGGTAGGAGAGAGCCTGGTATGGTCAAGGAATAATAGCAAGTGGTGGAGGAGGAGGACAAAGGCGATGGTAACACTGGAGATGTAGCCAAGGAATGCCAAGACTGTAAAATCCCCAGACCTCAGAGGTCTACAATGGCATGCAGCTCATGCTTCATGCCCACCCAAAGCAGGGCGCCTGGGATTTTACTCTTTCTGGAAGCCAGGCTGATGAAATGGTCACCACATGAACAGAAGAATACTATCACCACAGCAGAGGGAGGGCATGCAAGACAAGCTGTGTACTCCTCTGTATCACGTGGATATCATTCATTCACATGACTTCCTACAACATCAGGCTGCTTAAACCATGTCAGTCACATGGTTCACAAAGCTCCAAGGAATCAGGACAATACAATGCTATTTGTGTTTGGAAGGGAAATAGAAATTTGGAGAAAAAAACTAATTATACTCACTCTGGAGAGAACATCATGTCAGACCTTGTCAGTACCTTAAGGATTCTGGTTCTATGGATGAAAGGACAGGCAGCTACTACAGGGTGTGGTTAAGGTCATGTGGTATTGCAGTTGGAGGGGATGGCGCTGGCTGCTCTGGAATATAAACCACAGGGAAGTTGGTTCTGGAATCAAGCCAGAAGAGATTAAGAGCGCTACTGTAGGAGTAGTTGGATTCTGGGTATATTTTAAAAGTGGAGCCAGAAGGAAGGTTTGGATGTGAATTGTTAAAGAAACCCAACAGGCTGGATTGAATAAACCTTTTGCCTGACCAACAGGGGCAGAGCTGTCTGTTCCTGGTGGGGGCAGAGGTGTGGAGGGAGAGTTGAAAGAGTGGGAAACTATTCTGACACACTCATTTAGAGACACCTCTTAGACTAGACTGCTTGGTACAGACAAATGTGTCACCGGATGGATGAATCTAGAGGCTCAAGGTTCAGGCTACAGATATAAATTTGGGAACAGTCAATATGAGTCGTTGATAAGTGGTATTAAAGCATAAGACCTGGGTGAGATCACACAGGGAACAAGGGCAGATAAAAAAGGGATGTCTGTGCGTCAGGCCTGGGTCTGTAGATGTAGTTGATGGGAGATGAGGCTCAGTCATGCTTAGTGAGAGAGGAGCCAGTGTGGTTCCTAATTAGCAGAGGGAATCTGTTTCAGGAAGAGTGATCACATCATCACTGAATGTTAAAAAGGATGCTGGGCAGGTTCAGTGAGGGCTATGAAAGCAGTGGGTAATGAGGGAATGGGGAGGAAGGGAATAGAGGCAGCATATATCAGCTATTTCCAGCAGTGGTTTTTCTTTTTGGTAAAATGAAACAGAGAAAGGGACCTCGAACTTATTAGAGTATTAGAGGATATCTTTTTTTTTTTTTTTTTTCTTCCCAAGTTGTAAGCTATCAGAGCAGTGGATGAGGTGATGCCCATGGCTTATTAGAGGGAAAAAGTCCTTAGGTATCAAAGAGGAAGCTGAATCCAGTACCTTCTTCTAGGTAAGGCGGAACAGACAATTCACTACTATGTTATGTAGGCGCAGACTCGAATGGAGAGAACACACTAATACTCAAGGAAAATAAGAAAGAAGAGAATTGAAAGTGTAGACCCCCAAAACAACTATTGTATGAGAGCAGAATTCTTCCTTTTTAAGAAACAGGACCTTGCAATGTTACCGAAGCTATCCTCAAACTCTTAGGCTGTTATGATGGCCCTGCCTCAGCTTCCTGTTGTGAGATATTTAATTACACTGTGTAAAGATATGTCACTGTGACTGGTTTAATGCAAACCTAAATGTCCAATAGCTAGGCAGGAGGTACAGCAGGAGTTATTAAAGAGCAGACAGGAATAAGGCTTATACTCTAACAGGAACAATAGAGAAAGAGGTCTGTACTTGACTGGTATAATGTAATAACTCATGCTTCAAGGATGGAAGAAAGGAGCCAATAACCAGTAAGGAGCAAGCAGGACACATACCCCACTTCAGGTTGAGTGGCACTTGGATGTGGGAGGAAACGACCTTCACTGGACATGTCTACAGAGGAAGCGGGGTCCCCAGGTCAGAGCCAGGTGTCAGAACCAGATGGTACCTGAAGGAAAGAAGTGACATATCCTTCAGCCAAGAAAAACTGTATCCTGACACCAAATGTTCGTCTACATCCAGACACAGGTAAGATTTCAGATTTGTGTATGGTCACATAAATTTATATACTACTGAATTTATATACTACTGAAAGTATAGAAAAGAATAGATGGTAATCACATCTCTAGCCTTATACCAAAATAAGCTTAAAGAACAGCTGGAACCCTGGTCAAGCTGTTGCTCAGACCTCAAGGGTCTGGTGCTCAAGAGAAGCTGAGCTCCCATTGAGATTCCCCCTGAAGGAAATGGTAGGAGCTTGCTTTGCCTGGGTTGAGTAATAAGAAAGCAGTGGGACCTAGCCTTCAGAGAGCTATAGAGTGGGAGGAGGCCAGAAGGCAGGGACCCTTCCTTCAGGCATCCCTGGGCTGACAGAGTCTCTCCACACTGTTGATACAGAGACCTGTTTGCCTCTTACCGTGTATTTGAGGCATTCAAACATGCATTGGTGCCGCACTTTGGCCTTAGTAAGCAAGTAAAACACTGGCTCTTCCAGTGGGAGCAATGCATCCTATCTGCCCTAGTGAGCAGCACTCTTAACTATTGGAGGGACGATGATCTGAGACTCCAGATACTCACACTCAACAACAAAAAAACCCATGACTTGTAAGTTAGAAAACTCAACAAATAAATTAAGGGAGATCATGTCTCTGGTATTCTTGGAACTTAGAAGAACAACTCAAATGGAGAGGTAAAATATGAAGAGATGAAGACACATGGGAAAGGATGAATGGCTTGGAGGGTGGAACCAGCAAGTTAACATGCTCTACCAGGAATTTCAGAGGTCAAAAACAAAGAGTTTAAAGTTAAATTCACAAGGCAGCTGAGGCAACGACATTAAATATTAGAAGAGTGCTTAGCTAAGAGGAACAATAAATTATTAAGTAATAACATTTCATATCCCACAATAACTTTAAATACTACTGCCATAAAAATGAATACTTGTGAATTTTTCCATGACAGCCACTAGCTTATTAATGCTAGTTCATTTAGTCCTGATATGAACCTAGGATAACCATCATGGCAGGAAGGAAGATATTCTAAAGAGAGTCTCTCCTCTCACTCCTAAGAAAATGGACCCCAAGAATTTCCCTTGGAACCTTATGCTGGGAGAAATATAAGCCAGAGGAATTTGTCTTTGAAAGATTTCACACAGTTCTGTGCATGAGAGATGGGGCTGAGACAATGGTGACGATGATGGGCAGGACAACACCTAGACCAGGTCTGCTTAGTCATGCATACCAGTCCTTTATACAAACCTAAATACTCTGTCAGGACCTCAGGGATGGACTTGTAGATGAGCAGGTCACTGGACAGTTTTTGTTAGCTTCTTTCCTAATGTGGCCTTGTTGAATACACCTTTTTTGCTATTGCTTGATTTTTTTTTTAATTTAAAAATTATTTTATTTAATGTGTGCGAGTGTTCTGCCTGTATGTATGTCTGTGCCTGAGGCTTGAGGAAGCCAGAAGAGATTTAGATGCCCTGGAATTGGAGGTACAGGGAGTTGCGATCCATTGTGTAGGTGCTGAGAATTGGATCCTAGTCCTCTATAAGAGCAGCCACTGCTTTTAGGCTCGGAGCCATCTCTTCAACCATTTGTAATTGGCCTATGAAGGACAGGCAGCTAAGCCTAGCCCATCAGGACAGCTAAGACCCAGGCTCTTAACCCTAACAACTACTTTAATAGTATATGATGTTGTTTTCATCTTGCAAACAAGAAACTGAGGCAGAGTTGTTTAATATTGTCCCTGAAAAGTCCTTGCCAGTAAGTGCTGGACAGAGAACTGAACAGGTAGGTGGATTGGGAAACTCTGGGCTTGAATGGAAACACAGTCAGGCATGCACAACAAGAGGACACATGCAAGAAGAACCTGGCAATGCTCCTGAGTTTTAGAGGTGAAAAGAAAACACTTAGGGCTCTACTAGCAGAAAGAACCAAAAATCCCCACAGTACATGGCAGCTCATGTCAACACCAGAAATTAAGAGACAGGAAGAATATCATGCGGTCAGAAGGGGAGATCTCCAGACTAAAGGCTCCTCACAGCTGAGATGGTACACCAGGAAAGAAACGTGAGCTATCTGAGGAGGGCAGATTCAGACTGTCCCAGTCAAATACCACAGGAGAGGTGATGGCTTTGAAAAGACCTTGACCCTATCACTGCCTCTGAGATGAGGAATTGAAAGGGCACAAACAGGATAAGGAACATCACATCTCGGAGGGATCTTTGCCGTTGTATCCAAATGTTTTACGACAAATGTGCTTTGACATCACAGATGGGCAGACCAGCCAGCCACGAAAAAGCCATCTTAGTTGATTTTGAAAAGGCGGGTCAACTTTGAGAGAAGCTGTGACACACAGGAAGTCATTTAGTTTAGCCTTGCTGCTGGGGGTTGGGAGAGGAAGTCAGGACAGCTGTAAAGGTCTCAGGCAGGGAAGGGAAGAGACCACTAGTGATCCAGAATGTGCAGCCGGAAAGAAAGAGTGGCGGATGTGATCAGTTCCTAGTGGGCAAACCAACTTAATGGAATAATCAGTAAGTAGAATCCCTATGACAGAAAGGGAGAGAAGGAAGACAGGAAGTGGATCTGCCATGCCTCTTCCTGGATGTTTTCACAGAAAGAGACAGGGCCAGAAAAGATCAAAACCAGGTGTAACACTGGGTGTGGTGGTGAAAACAGAGGCTGACACAGAAGTACTGTCATAAGTTCAAGACCTGCCTCAGATCTAAAGGGTGCTCAACTGCTTGGGAGAAACAAATGGCAAAACAGAAAACAAAACAAAAACAAAACAAAACAAACACAAAAAAACCCCACAAAACTTGAAGATAGAAAGAAAAGAAAGGTGTGAAATGATCAATAAGACACGAGACACAGTAAAACTCTACCTGAGCTGGCTAACCCAGATAAAGAGAGCTTTCACAGCAAAAAGACAGCATTTGCTGTGGAGTCACAAGGAGAAATGCTAATGCAAATACGGCAACACAGGGAAGTTTCAGAACAGCTTTTAGACACTGACACAAGCAGATCACATACAGAACATTTTCAACTAGAAAACACAATTTTATTGTCAGTGGAACATTTACAGACAGATGAAGATCTTGGAAACAGAGAAAAACCAACTTTTTAAAAAAAGATTTAGGTTCTTTAGGCTACATTTTATGACTCACAATATTAGAAATAAGAAAATACAACTCACTTTGGCTTCAGCCTTTTTAGTCAAAATGCTTAAAGAAGTTCAATACAGAATATCAAAAAGCAAGAAACAAAACAAAAAGTAGAAACTGTATCAGCTTTTAAGTCAATAGCAGCTGCAAAAAACAAAAAACCAAAAATAAAATAAAAATAAAGAGAGAAAGGAAACACAACAATAACAACAATGAAACCTCAGACCAGAAGTAAGTCGGATGTCCGCCACCAAGCAGGACCTTGCTGGCACTGAGAGGGATACAGGCATTTTCTGACCTTAATTTCTGCAATAGATGCCATGGCCCACGCTATGGTCGACCGCAGCCCAGCTGTCTGGATGTAAGTTCTGCTGGCTAAAGGAACTCTGCAAGAAAGAGACCAGGTAGGTATCAAATATTACTATATTATGCTAAAGAACAGGCTACAAAACATGATCATTTTTTCTATATCTGTGAAATATGCTAACATATCAATCAGATATATTCTCTAAACTAGAGGATATTTTAACCTTATTATTAAATACCTTCTACATTGGGCCTTTGTTTAATCAACCACCATGGTATTTAAGAATAATAAATTTTCTAGACAACTGAAATTTAAACTCTTCTATGTTTAAGTTACAAAAATGTATTCACACACAAAGGAAACCTCTTACTTAGCACTTCTCTGTCTTTACACAGAACAGCTGGTGACAGCTGGTGTCATCAAGAGGACAGGGCTTTGTGATCTGGATGCAATATGGGAAATTCAGTCTCTTCTGTAAGTGTGGTTTCTGCTGACTTGCATCTGTCTCGGAAGACACAATGAGGCAGGGGCATACAAATGAATCTCTGCTCTATTCTTAACTATAGCATAGGCCACCCTACACTCCTCCCTCATCCTAGATACTATGTTACTACATTCAACAGACTTCAAAGCCAATCTGGGATGTTGTTCCTCAGAGGCTGTTCACCTTGTTTCTTAAGACAGGGTCTAGACCCTCACTGGGACCGGAGGCTTGCTGATTAGGCTTGGATTGCTGAACAGTGAGTGCAGGAACCTGCCTGTCTCTACTGTCTGGGGTTACAGGTCTGGGGTTACAAACATATGCAACCATGGGGGTATAGCAAGCATTTTACAGACTGAACTGCCTCCCCAAATTCCATGTCTACCTTTCTAATGCAACTCACAAGAGGCATCTTGGAAAGTTCAATGCAGTTTTGGAGCTACAGTTTGTGGGTAAGATAAAGAAGTTATGATTTCAAGAATTTGTGCTGGTGTTTTGGGGTAGGTTTATTTTAAAAACAGTAAAAGGGCTGTTACAATGTTTTCTGTACTTTTTCTATAAAAGTGCTTTCAATGTAATCCAAGGCTTTGATTCCTCTTATCATTTTATTTTTCATCTTTATCTGACTTTAAATTATTCTGTTTTGTTTCATCCACCACAAGCCTTTCAAATTCTTAGAACCAAATGACATACACTGTTTTCCAGGGAGACACTGTGACTGTGTATCTTGTTATAGCAAGGTGGTTCTATGTGGTAAAACTATGTGAATTGGCCTTTTAATTGAAGCCTTTTCAGGAAATAATGGTCCATATTATAAATACTACCATATTTATAGATTTGAATTCCAAGTTGTAAACTGGTGGTAGACCATAAAATATTTTGATCAATGAATTTTGCTGCTACAGAGTAAGCTTGGCAATTATCTTGCTACAAAACACATCAATTTATACTATAAGTAGCAATGAAGGGAGCCCATGAAGAAAATGGTTCTCAGTTGAAAAGTTTACAAAATCTTCCAAGGTGCAGGGATATTTATACAGGACTTTGATAAATCTGACAATACCTGCCAAATGCAAATGTGTTCTTACTTTGCATGACCTGTTCTGACTCCAACAAATGGACCTATTCAAACAAGCATGGAGGAGCTCCAGGGGATGCAGAGCTCAAATTCTTGAGAATAAGAACAACGATCTATTTGTTTAAGATTTGTTCAAAATCAAACGTTAATTGTTCAAAAGGAGATATAGGTTTTTGGTTCTCCCCTGGTGGATACATTTCATCTCTCACACAACACCCTCCATAAACCAGGATGAGGTGAGTGGTTGCCATCACCTCAACGCCTAGAGGCAGCATTCCAGGCGCACCTGGGAGGGGCTGCTGAGATTTAGGTTAGCCTCTGGAATGTCTGTGAGGAACTGTTTTGATGACATGAATTGATGTGGAAGGATCTATCTGTACTGTGTATACACACAACTCTTCCCTGAGTAGGGAATCCTGGGCTAGGCACTACATGCATTAATTCATAGATCTCTGCTCTTGGCTGTGGGTGGAACTTAATAATCACTGTACTCAGAGACACAGTTGTTTCACTTCAAACTAACTGTATGGATTCCTGTCCCCTTCCTCACCAGTCAATGAATAGTTACAAAGATAAAAGTTAAAATGAATTCAGCATGCTCCCAATCCCAGAAACATCACAGAGCACTGTCACACAGCTCGGCTCATTGAACCCCAGCCACAAAGCTATCTGGGTGGTTTGAATGAGAATGGCTCTCATAGGCTCCTATATACTTGGCCCACAGATGGTGGAACAGCTTGGGAAGGATTGAGAGGTGTGGCCTGCCACTAGGGGTGGGCCCATGCCAGACCCAATCTATGTCTCTGCCTCCAACTTGTGGATAAGATGTAAGCCCTCAGCCACTGCCCCAGCACCATGCCTACTTACCTGCTGCCACGCTCCCACCATGATGGTGATGAACTCTAACCCCCTGGAACTGTAAGCCCCCAATAAACTCTTCTTTATGTTGTGTGAACAGGGTTAGTCACACAAGACATTGTAAAAAAGCCATTGCTAGCCACATGCTTCTAAGAACCCAAGAATGACTATTTGCATTCAACCAGCTTTTTCTTCATAACACCTAGAAAAAGTGCCTCTTGCATAGTAAGAATTCAGTAGATATTTAAAAAAGAATTTGAACTTATTTAGTAGAGAGGCGGTTTAAAATGGTTTTTAAAGTGAGCAATAGCCACTTGTAATAAAACAATAATGGCAATGAAATCTAGAGAATGTTTGATATGCATTTAAGCAACTAAGCTTTATTTTCTTTTTAAATCACATCTCCCAGATGCCAATAGACTACTGATTATAGCTTATACATGGGTCTGTGCAAACTACCCATGAAATAATGATGCATTGTTTCAAGACTTGTCCGTGGATGGCCATGGTCAATCAGCTCTAACAGGTCAGATCAAGGCCCCATCCCCAAGCAAGGATCCCAGGAAGCTTTGCCTCCTTTGCTGTCTCAACACTCCATACTATATAAATGAAATTAAGTTCTTGATTCTACAACGCCAACTGTTACCTGAAGAGGGGAATCCCCACCACGGAGTAAGTGTCACTCAGGTGTATGAAGATCTGAAAGAAAAAACAGAACCACCAGAATGGCACAGGAAACTGCCACATCAAGTTCCTGGCAATCTGAAGCATTTGTTTTGAATTTATATGACCTGTATTGTAATAAGAAATACCAAGACCTACTTGTCATGTCTGGAAAAGCTCTATAGTCTTTTATCCTTAACCCAGAGGTGAACATAATTTAGGTTTACTTCATTTAAAAAAAAAAAAGTCTGAGGACTGGGTGGTGGGTAAGCTTCAGTCATGTGTCAACAAGTTCAGACCTTTCTTTGCTGGACTCTCGGGTCTGTAGTACTTGGATTGAGCTTTTTAGACAGGGGTAGCAAAGACTTCCCTCAAGCCTACTCTAACCTCACGAAGACTTGCAGCCATGCAGGGCTGTAGCTCATGGACAGTGCACAGTAGAGGACGCTCTCCTAAGCCAAGGTGTGCTCTCTACCATCTGCAGGCAAGTGTCTTAGTTACGTTTCTGTTGCTGTGATAAACACCAGGACCAAAAGCAACCTGGGGAGAAGGGGGTCTACTCCATCTTACAACTCTCAGGTGACATTCTATCACTGAGGGGAGTCGGGGCAAAAACTCAGGGAGGGGACCTAGAGGCAGGACCTGAAGCAGACACCATGGAGGAGTGCTGCTTGCTGGCTTGCTCCAATGGTTCGCCCAGCTTGCTGCCCTGTATGATTCAGGACCACCTGGCCAGAGTGGCACTGCCACCTCCAGTGAACTGGCCCTTCCCACATCAAAGACTAATTAAGAAAATACACCCCCCCCCCCCCGACCCACCCACCACAGGCCATCTGAGGAGGGCATTTGCACTGAGGTCTCTTCCCAAATAACTCCATCTTGTGCCAAGTTGACAAAACAAACAAACAACTCCCCACCCCCCAAGCCTCTTCCTTCCTTCTATTAGGTTTTGATAGAATGTAATGTGTCATAATTAGTAGCCCACATAAAACTAAAAAGTGGGAATTTCTCTTACTCTTATAGTCTGAAAAACTTTATAGACCATTCTAACATGGCGAATCACATGATACATGGTACTTTCACCCAAAGTGTCGTGTTTTTCCCCCTCCTCCCCACACCCGTTTGCTGCTAGACATCAAACACTGAATCCAGGCTTCATACATGCTGGGTAAATTCTCTATCATTGAGCCATACCCCAGCCCGTGAGGTCAGGTTCAGGATTAGCACTTTCACCAGAGCCATTCCAATATGGGAAAGCTATATCAAGAATTGCATGAAGTAGTCCCCTTTGAGGACAATTCCTCCATCAACAAAAACACCACAGCTGAACTTTCCAATTGTATTATGTATTTTAGCAAAATTATTTAAGAGAATTCTGTCCTATTTCAAATTTTAATATATATTGATTTCATTTCACTTTCACATACCACATACCAAATATCTAGGGCAGCTTTTCCTACCATAAAACTGATTTCCTATCAATTTTACAGGGTGAAATTTAAGATTTGATTCTTCATAGATTGCAGATTTCAGTCATACATTTTATTATACATTGCTTTAATACTAATTATGGCTTTATACAGTTACTTTAACCCATCAGAGATATTATTAACTCCGTGAGATGGTGGGTAGGAGCTAAACTGATGGTATTTTTGTGAGATGATTTTGGCAGTGTAATGGTGCTGGGGAGAGATGAAGGAGAAAACAGAGAAGATGAAGTGTGGGAGACAATACCACGACGAAAATCTGGGAGTTAAAATGTTTTGGATACACTATCGGATTTATATCAGATACTATATTTTAGAGGTTAAAAATATAGATAAAGGGGGAAAAAAATCTAACAACTTACAAAGGGTTCTGACTTATTTGGCCAGGTCTGTTCCCATATAAAGTTGTATCATATGGAATACATTTATACATAAATATTAAAACTGACTGTCAAATTTATATGATGGTTTTCAAAATATAGGGAAGGTTAACTTTTGTTACTCCCTGAATTTATTTGTTCCAAATAAAAGCCACTAGTAACGATACTAATTTTGTGAATCGTTAGGTTATTATCCATTTTCTTTACAGCAGCTATATGAAATAATTTCCTATAAAGATATTTGTTATGCATGAGGAGACCATGGAGTGCCTCTACAACCTCACTATAAAAGTTTTCTTCTGCTGTGGCCAAGTGACTCCAGTCTGGGTGAGACATTTCTGGACTATTTCGCTGCTGAAGAGAAGCAGGCCACTGGATCCATGCAGACACACTTTTTATAACTGAGGTCAAGCTGAAATGCATGGAAAGGAGATGATGCTGTCATACAGAAATTCAGATGGATATTCATTACCTCTAAATGTGGATTCCTCAAATTGGCTTTCCATCCAAACTTCCTCATGAGAGCAATTCCAACCACTCTTCCCACCTCCTACAAGGAGGCAAGTTATAGGAAAGGTAAGAATATAAGAAAGAAGACATGTTAAAACGGACAAGAGTGATAATGAATGTAACTTCAAGACTGCCTATGCAAGGCAATAGGGCTGTATTTTACTTTCTCCATGTTCAAACCCTTTACGGCTATTCTCTACTTGTGTGTAACCTCTACTTGGGCAATTTTAGGTGTGTGACATAAGACCATGTCCTGACATATGTGACCCTTCTAATAAAGGAAATGGATGCACACTAAAAGATCACACATTAACTATTACCATGTCTACACATCTGGTCATGTCTACATACATGACCAGATCAGTTTACCAGACTCACCTTTATGGTCTGCGTGATTCTAAGTTTGGCTAAAAGATCCAGACCCATTTTATGCTATTGGACTTTGTAGGGGGCCAGCCAATGAGGTCTTGGGATGGAAATAGGTGTGTGCCTTTCCCTTGACTGTTAGATTTCATGTGGTCAAGGTTCCAGTGACAAGCCTGCAAACATCACAGTGCAGGGTGATCCTCAGCATATAATTGTAATGAAGAACCCCCAACATATTAAGACCACAGAATCAGCATTTACAAATGCAAAAGACATTCATGAACTTAAGAAAATGTTTAGGCAGAAAGCAAAAGGCTGTCATGTGGAATGGCATGGCATTCCTCTGGAGCTGCTGAAGCAAATTACTTTTGGAGACAGACAACCAAATGAAGTCAGACTTCCTCATCTGTCTGGGCCACGTTATTTGTGCTGTAAGATGTGTGTTTCTGGAAGGTAGGATCACACTTAGGAGGTGAGCATACCTGTGTAGTGAAGGCCTTTCCGATATTCCCACTGCAGCGACAGGAAACTCGGAAGGTCAAGTCCTCTAGGTCTTCAGTGTTGGCTGCCTTCACCAGGTCATTCTGGGATCCTTGCTTGTGAAGCTCCTCAGTTTTAGTGATAGCATCCCCTTGCTCCAAGGAGTACTTGGGTACTCTGTCCCATTGGCCTTCCCTATGTCTCTTTTCAACCATTTGTATCTCCTCTAGTTTTAATTTCTTGGCAACGACAATCTCATTTTCTCCCACTTTTCGTTTTAGTGGGTTAGTGTCCCTTTGAGAAACTTTTTCTCTTTTTGTATCATGTACAAGAAGTTCTTTCCAAAGTGAAATGGCCTTCAGCCAACTTCCTGGATCATCATTTACAAGTTTTTGCAGTTCGTTAAGTATTTTTCCTAAATAGATAAAAAAAACCTCAGTTTACCCATCTTCAAGTTTTATAGACAATTGTCTATTACCTTCACCAACCAGATTTCACGACCTTTACATCTTCAAAATATTTTACTGAATTGCTCCATGAACAAAATTTCACTTTTATTTGAAGTTTATATAATTTATCCTAAGACTGTACAGCAGAATAAATTTCATAATTTAATACAGAGATCTAAGATTTGTTGAATTTATAGAAATCCTATGCACTATTTTAGCAAAGCCATTTATCCTGTGATACTACACTCAGTGAATGGTGAGTTCATGCACAGACCTAGGGGACACACTGATCTTTGAGGTAACAGTGACCTTGCCCAAAAACTGAAAAATATAGATATCAGAAACAGAGCAGCTAAACCTTGGACCCATTTCATTTTAGACCACAAAATATTAACATAAATCTTAAAATGAGTTTCTATGAAACCAAACTTCAGATACACAAGCCACTTATAAGTTCTGTCAGCTTCCCTAGTGAACTTTAACTTTTCCTTATAAACAAAAGTCACTAAGTTGAACTGAAAATTATCACCATAGTTCCTTCAAGATGACAGCGTACAGATGATGGGAGAAATTATGGTCACCCCACAAATCCTCGGGATTTGCTCTAATTTCTTTTTCTGTCATTTGCAACTCATCTTGAAATAGAGCCTTACAAATTTATGTAATTCTTTGATGTTTTACACACATAGTAATCAGACTGAAGGTTAAGGCAGTGTTAAGTACTGTGGTGTCTGCCTTGAATTCATTTATACAACATAATTTTAAAGTTAGGGAGTAATTATGAAATGCCTTTATAAATGGGCATAAGTTTGTTGAAAACATTTTAGGTTCTGGGAGAAGAAAATTTTACTATGTAGTAATTTTCCAACTATATTATTTAGTTAAAAGTTATAAGATGACCAACTTGTGATGCAAAACTGTATTCTGGTTATTATGTGCTTCAAAATCAAATAAAACAACAGAACACACATGAACAATAAAACCCAGAAGGCAGGCAACAGGTTCCAAAGAGAAGCAAAGGAGCTGGCTATAAATACGTGGTAATACCAGGCAACTGAAAACTCTGTAACTAACAATGACACAGTATGAATGAACCGCAAACTTGGTCACATAGCAGGTGGGTATGGACAGTGGGCACACACTGTACCTTTGCTCAGAGAAGGAACTGCAATTGGAAGTTGCTTCTTAATCAACAAAAACAGTCTTTCTGCTGACTTTAACTTCTTCATGGAGGCCAAATCTGAACAGGTAGTAAAAAACACTTTTCCTGAAATATATTCAACCTAGACAAAGAAAAACAGATAGTAATATGGCTCTGGGTCAGAATAAGGGCCACTTTCCTTTTTCCTTTGGCCATTTGAGGAACAACTATCATTTGTTAGGTTCTGCAGTAGGCACCACCAACGTATTATTTTCCTTTAAACATAGATTTTTATCATGCCCATTTTTCTGCATCACAAACTGATATTTAGGGTAGGCTACATAATCTGTATAAGGTCATGTGGTCAGACTATTATGCCTCCTCTTGTAAAGTACATACCCATGTGCCTGGAAAAAAATAAAAGACAAAATATTCAAAATTATACTGCCAACCTCACCCACTGCTTAAAAGTAGGCAAAAGATAGCTAATATGCATAGCACAAATTAGTTGTCTAGAACAAGTGGATGTTTATTAATATCCCCATGTCTCCCCGGGGAACATATAGCAAATACTGAACAATAATGTAACAGACATACAAACTAAGATGTAAAACTTGTGAGACAATACCATAAATTAAACCCAGAAGAAAATGAAACAGTATGTTAGCACTGAGCAGGAAGCCACTGTTTCTAAAATGCTGGGACGAATCTGGTAAAATCTAGGAAGCAGGGCTCTAACAAACAGGACCAGTTGCAGAAGCAACAGAAACCTGGCTGCAGCAAACTGTCAGCAGGCTGGCAGCACTGGCTGAATTATGCTGACTGATAATGTCAAGGGGAACGGATGGCATAGCTTAGGCCAGCCTGATATATGGTCATCAAATTTTGAGTATCACGGATGGTAATGGGCAGCCATGAAAGGATTTTGATGAAAACTATGACAGCGGTGATTTAGCTGATGGAAAAATGACCTTGGAAGGGGCATAAAAGACTGGGTGTAGAGTGTGATGCTGGAGGGAGAACAGATTACTGAGGTAGAAATGAGGGACACATGGTGGAAAATAGATAGGAGTAAGATACACATATTGCACAGAAGTAGGCTTAGGATGAGCATGTGGTACATGGGGGGAGGAAGGGAAATGGGAAACTCACTGATTTGCAGGGAATAGCATTTAGTGTGGGAAAAAGCACTTGGTACCAAAGGAATTCTAAACCTTCTAGCTGTCATAAGTCCTGGAAGGGTATGAACTGTCTTGGAATTTTTCTTTTCACAGTGTTCAAGGTTGACTGACATAATCCTAAGCTTTCTGGAACTAAAGCACCAGGGACTCTGGGGTACCCTGTGCTATAGGTTGAATGTCACCCCAAGGGTGACACTGCTCAGTATGGTGACACTGAAAAGTGGCAGGACTTTTAATAGGTTTGGCCTGGTAAGCAGTAGTTGGGTCACACCAACCTTAAAAGTGATGCTGGTCACCTGGGGTGAGCTGGGCCTCATGACAGTACCTACTTCCTGAAAAGGCTAACATACTCAGGGCATCAAATCATGAGAATAGTATGCTGATTGGTTAAGATACCAAATCCACTTTCAAAACCCACAGGCAGTATTGTCTTAAGAATTTACACAAGGCTTCCTAGTCTTTTTACATATGAGAATTACTAATTTAGTAACTGTGAGAATCACATAGTCACATACATGAATACAAGCAATTTTCTTTGTGAATATTAACATGACCTCAAAGCAGGAGGAAGAATGAATGCCAGTCAGTATTTAAGAACTCATCAACTGGTAATATTAGCATTTCCCTTTCCTCCAGCTTTTTTTTTCATTGCTTTTGGGGTAATTTATTATTTTTAATTATGTTAATGTGTATATAATATCACATATGTGTTTGGGTGCCATAAGAGGTCACAAGTTGGAGTCTCCTGGAGTTGAACTTATAGGCAATTGTGAACTATGTGATACGGGTATTGGAATCTTAACTAAGGTTCACTGCAAGAGCAATATTGTGCTCTTAGCCCTTTAAATAAACTAAGATGTTGGGGGCTGGGGAAACTTGACAGTCCATGTGCTTTAGACCCTTCTTTGGTGCTCTGGCTGCTAAAGCAAGGGGGTAGGAGTGGGGCAGAGACAAGAAGAGACAGAATGACAGGCTGGGCCTACCATGGGCTTCTGAAATCTCAAATCCCATCCCCAGTGACACACCATTTTCAACAAGGGCTAATTCTTCCTTAACAACTTGACACTTGGGGACCAAACATTCAAATACACGAGTAGGAGGGATCATTCTCATCCAAACCAGCACAGTTGGCAAATCTAGATGAGAATAACTCTGTGTCCAATCCAGGAGCCACCAGGATGCATATCGTCTGAGTATTTTAAGTGTCACTAAGGTGTCTGAAAAAAAGGATTCTTATTTAACCCTAAATAGCCATTTTTGGGGTAGTGACCCTATTGGATAGCACAGCCACAGAGAGTCAGGAAACTAGCCCTGTTGAACTTAATATATTTTTTCAAGTGATGTAAATACAACAATGAAGGAGGAAAAAAAATACAACAGAAATCACTTGACTCGTAAAGCCTACAGGAGTATGTGACATAAACAGATTGTGATGGAGACAGCCTAAAATATTTACTATCAGGCCTTTTATTTTGGGGATTGCTTTAGATTAGGAGCAAAACAACCCAGTCACTTTAATGTAAGAATTCTGTGAGAAAAAGAGAGGCAAATTTATAGATGAGACAAAGAATATCAACCAATCACAGTACGTAGATGGTACTTAAATACACAAATTTAAAAACAAAAGTGTTATTATAAAACTAAAACTAATTTGACTTTGAATACTAATTAGGTATGTGTGAAGAAGGAATAATTTTTCTTTTAGCTATGTAAATAACATGGTGACATATTTTAAAAAGTTCATCTCCTTTACACTATATACACTGATATGAAAAGTCATAATTTAGAGCCAATAAGCAAATATGCAGATGAAATGTTCCTGGGACCTCCTTCAAAACACCATGGGTTGGAAGTATGAATGAAGCCGAATTCACTGTGGGCTGATCTCTGTGGTGCCTGGTTGATGAGCAGGGAGAATTCATATTATTCTGTTTGTTTCTGTGTCCATGATAAACAGCTAAAAGGGATACACAGGAGGCTTCCTGCTGAAAGCTGTTTTGGAGGATTTACCTGAGTGACAGTCGCCTGGGAAGGGAGAGTGTTTACATGTTCAGTGCAAACACTTGAGCTCATCAGCAGCTCTACTGAAAGAAAAACCTTTTGGGGCTGGCACCCAGGCTTTAACAGGCTTCCCTGGTGAGTTGTAAGTTCACTAAAATCGGAAAAACACTGATTAAAACTGAGTGATTACCTCCTAAAAGTAAACAATCACTTCTGAATTAATTTGTTTTATAAATTCAGAGTTTTAAATATTAATTTTCTCCCAGCAAACCTAAATTTCTAAGAGACTCTTCTCACCACAATAATGATTTTTTTTTTTTAAGTATCCCTGTGCAACTAGTTTTGTGGGAATGCATTTATGCAGCACCAATTGTTTGCCATGTACTCCATGCTATCTGTCTTTAGCTTAATGACTCCATGAAAGTAGGAATTAACCCAAGAAAAGTGAGGCTGAGAAAGCTAAACAGTTTATTAGAAACCACACATCCATTCAGGAACAATGTAAGGGTAGAACATTATGTTCTTTCCTATGGCTTTGTAGACATAGGCTTCACTCAGTGCTACAGGGTAGTTCCCCACACTGCAGTTGGTCCTCTGTAACTGAGGGAGCCCTCTTGGTGGATTCAATGACTATCAGACAGAAAGTATTTAGGAAGTAAACCCTGTGGATATACTGAACAAGTACAGATTCCTTCTTTGGCATTATTTCCTAAACAATTTTATTTTTTAAACAACTGACCCAACATTAGTGCCCTCTGTCATCTGGACAGAGTTCATATGTGCTAATTACAAGCAAGCACTATACTACTGTATATACAGATTAGCGCAATCACATGTTTTTGTATAGGGTGGTATCTTAGAATCCTCCTCAGACATCAAGGTGAGACAGATTAGAGCGAACCATCTTGGAGCATGAGGTTAGCTTATTGTTACAGGACTGTTAACACCAATGTTAACGATTGCAACAAACCCTCCAAATAACTCTCTTAACGTTTATTTTTCCTTTAAATACACTAAGATGTTGGGGGCTGAAGAAATTTGACTCCCTGCATGCTTTAGACCCTTTTCTGGTGCTCTGGCTGCTTTTAGCAAGGACTGTCAGTCAGTTGTATAGCTGTACTGCCCTAATACCAATGTGGACACACTGAACACTCTATGGAGGCCTTGAGGAAGGTACATGGTAATGATAGCTGCTTGCTGCAAAAGCACAACTCTGCTTTAAGAAGGCACTACTTCTGCATATATGTTTCTCTTATTGATTGATGAATAAAACACTGTTTAGCCAATAGAGGCAGGAAGATAGGTGGGACTAGGAGATGAGGAGAGTTCTGGAAAAGGTAGGCAGTGAGGTGCTTCAAGAGGACACCATGTAGAGACTGGAAAGACAGGACACACCAGGTGTTCTCTGGTAAGATAAAGCCATGTAGAAATACATAGATTAGTAGTTATGGGTTAGTAATTATGAGAGAGCTGGCCAACAGGAAGCCCTAGTCATTGGCCAACAGTTTTATAATTGATATAGCATCTCTTTGTGTTCATTTGAGGCTGAAGCAGTGGGGCCTGGCGGGAAAAGAAACTCCAGCAACACAAGTCTTTGTAAACTATAGATGCCCCGCTTAGCCAGCACTTACTCCTATTCAGGCCAGAGCGGGAGCACTTTGCCTTACAGCCCAGCAAGAGACCAGTGACTGGTACAAACAGATCATTATTTACATGAGGGGTCTTGCCATGACTAGTGCCATGATTAATTTTACTTGTAAGTAGGGTTATATTTGATTGATGTAAATATACATCCTCACCACATCCCTTTATGGCTGTCAAAAGCAGGCTTCTTAGCTTACTTTCTGATCCAGCTGGGCTGTACCCTCTGTGCTGTCTCCAGGTGTTGACAGAAACTTGAGATCAATAAAAGGATTCGTTTGAATGATCTTTTCTTGCTTATTTCTAATCTTTACCATTAAGGTGGGGTGAGTTGGTGACACAAAGAGAAATGGCAGGAGGTGACAAACCTGGCTGCAGAAGCAAAGGTGGCAGTAATAAAACAGAAGATGCTGCCCAGTGAGCAGAGAAATGACAGAGAACAGTGGCAAAATGAAGAAGGGCAATAAAGAGCTAAGATGAGAAATGGTGGGCCCTGGCTGCTGGAATGCAGGGTGCTGTTAAGCCTTAAAGGCCAAAGGTCTCAGCCCTAACAATGTACTCCCTAGCCTAGGGCTCAGGGTCCTCATACTCTAGGCCCACACAGGAGTTATAAATCAGCAGCCATTACTTGTTATGGATTGCTACTACCTGCTGCTAACACTCACTGCTGCTGAATGACAGGGATTACAAGAGTATCAGGGCTGCTGCAGCCCAGAGTCATAAGCCTCCATCCTGCGTTTTAAGTCTGAAGCAAGAGCACCTCACTGTGGGAGTGTGAAGACCAGGTATTACTCTTGTAGAAGACCCATGTTCGAGTCCCAGCACCCATGTTGGGCAGCTCACAATCACCTGCAATTCTAGGTCCAAGGAGATGAGCCAATGTCAAGTTTCCACCAGTACTATACATTCATGTAAACACACACACAATTAAAAAAAAAAAAATAAAAGAAAAATTCCTTTAAATCCTTGATAAATGCAGGGATTGTTATAGAGAGGTTATTTTGGATAAATTTCAGCCAACATTTTGTTTAATTCTGGTGTAATTCACAAATGGCAGTAGTCTAATGTGGCTAAAGCGACTCTTGGTAACTCTCCCCGATACAACTGCGGACCATTGTAGAAACTCCCTTTGTGGGCTTGGAATACTGCTCCCAGAAGTGAGCAGCTAGTTTGATTTTACTAAGCTTTCCCTTTCCAAGACCACATCCCTTAGCAAAGTACCAACCTGCCCTAGCCATCTTTCCCTAGATTAGCACAATCTAGACTTTAGGAGGACCCTTAAAATCTGCTGGTCAGTTGTCACTAAAACAAACAGGCAGCTTTGTGGCCCGCAGGAGAGTTAATAAGCTTTTTTTTTTTTTTTTTTTTTTTTTTTTAGCTACTGTTACCGCGTGTGTCTGAGATGTACTTCTTATGTTTCATAGACAAGCAACAATGTGAAAACCCAACACCGTCAAGAAAGTAACAAGATTCAACAACTAAGCCTGGAAAGTACATTTGCATTGACTCCAATTACTGCCATCGCAGTTTCTCTTTTAGGAATCCAGGACAAAAAAAAAAAAAAAAAGTAACAAAACTCAACAACTGATGCTGGAAAGTTCATTTGCATTAAAGGTATAACTCCAGTTGCTGCCATTGCATAGTTCCTTTCTTTAGGAATCCGCACCCCTCTGTTTGAAACTTTGGCGTGACAGATGTATGGTGGGTGACCAGACTGGACGCAGAAAGAAACCACTCGACCAGCTGGTTGCTCAGAGCAGTCATCGCAGGACCTGGGGGAGCCCACAGCTGGCAGGGATGGGGTGCCCAGTGCTCACACATCCTTCCCGGGCCTAAGCCCCACGCTGGCGGGAAGAGGGAACCGGGGCCGGGGACCCGGCGAGCCTGACTCACCTGCGTGGCCTCAAGCCGCGCCTGCACCTCCCGCATCAGGAACGATTCCAGGCCGCGGCCCGCGGTGCAGAAGAACCGGGCACCGCAGGCCGGGTCACAACCTGACTCTGGCCCGGCCGCCGCCATTGCGCTCGGGCGCGGCCGGGAGAGCCGGTCACGTGAGGAACCAGCACCTGAGCGGCGGCTTCGCGGGCGCGCCCCCTATGGGTCGTCCTGGAAACTACACCCAGCCTTCTGCAGCCTGGCAAGGATCTTAAGGGTGCTGTCCTCACTGTCTTCACCATAGAGACAACCCAGTGAACTGGGGTCAAAAGCAGAAATTCTTATTCTCCGCCAGAATGTCTGTATGTTCCCGAAACTTGCTACATTGCTTGCTCTTTGCCAATAGTCTAAGTAAATGATGAATGTGCCACCCAGTTTAATCTACCGGATTTGAGTAACTAGTAACAGTATTTGAATGATGTATTTTTATTTTAACTCTTGGGTTTTAAAATGACAAATATATATGATATAGGTAGAATAAAATCTATCTCCAATTCAATAATATTAAATTATCTGTGTAGTTCTATACTGAATCAGTTATATAGAAACACTAAATGAATGTTTTTGGAACTTAACCTCCCTCATGGTTCAGAAATGGATGTCGGTGGGTAACTGATATTCTCTTACCCCCCACCCCCCCGGCCACTGGTCAGTTTATGAAGGGTTGGGGTAGTAGGGCAAAGTTCCTCATCAAGTCCCATCCCCTGAGCTTTTCAAAGTGTCAGTCCTAAATTCTCAGACTGGTTCATTTGGTAAGTCACCCCAGCCCCCTTTCCAAACGGCTTTTTACCTTGGTAGTTGCTATGGCTGATCCCAGTATCCCCATTTTTTTGCTTCCCTTCGCAAGTCTGTGTGGGGAGGACCATGAAGGCCCACTAAGACTCCCAGCGTGTGTTACAGAGTGGGTTAGTTCACAGGTACAGCACATCCAGTTCAGTTCAGTGAAGGCGCAACTGCTCTCTGCCAGTCAACAGGCTGTGTAAGTACATACTTGAGATTGCATGTGTGGAGTGGAAACAGGAAGGCTTGAGAGCAGTTGGGCATTAGAGCATCAACTAGATGATTCAATAAATAGGCAGAGTTAAAGACAGAGAAGCAAGACGGGGCAGATTCTGAACTTCAGGAGGGCACTTGTCTGCAATATGCATTCCTGGGAGGGGCCATGGCTGAACTGAAGCTGCAGTCTTGCTAAGCCAGCTTTCCCACTATGCCTTCTTCTTATTCTGATGCTCCCACCCCCAGTGGGCCAGCAGAGGGCTGCTGTTGTTCATTTGTTCACCCGTGGGCTGTGCTGCAGCCAGTCACACCTACCCATGCTCTGTCAAAATACTTGTCATGATTTGACGTTCAGCCTGTACTTTGCCTGGAGGTTACTGGCCTGAACCCTCCCCATTACTTCCTCTTCCCTCCATCATTTCTTCTTCTGAGGTTGAGGAGATGGCTCAGTTGGTGAAATAATTTCTCTACAAGTGTGAGGCTCTGAGTTTGATCCTCAGAAACCATGCAAAAAAGCTGGGCATTGTGGTACTTACTTATGATCCGAGCACTTGGGAGGTGGGACAGATGGATTGCTGGGGCTTGCTTGCCAGCTAGTCTAGTCAGATTGACAAGCTCCATGTCCCAGAGATAGAGAACTGTGTCAAAAAATACAAATAAAAATTAAAATTAAAGTGGGACTGTCTTCTGGGATCTACATGCATGTGTACAAATGTACATGTACCCATATATGCATATATATTCTCCTGCATATATACATATGTACACACCCCACACAGACAAACACACACACACACAGAGTTTGTAGTTTTGTTTTTTAAAGCCTTATATGCCCACAGATGAATTTAATTTATCTAGCTGCAATTTACCATTTGAATATTACATATTCAACATTGAGGAAGTTGGAAATCAACAAGGAACACTTTTAGAATAGACAGACTTTACTTCTTTTTAACGTTTGGCAGTTTCATACATTTCTATAATGAATTTTAGTAATTTTTATCCTACCCCAAGAGTTGTTGTGAATGTATAGGGTAGGACATTTGCTTCACAGTTTCTCCCTATTTTGATGTAATTGCTTTTTTTTTTTTTTTTAAATTCCAGAGGTGTTTAATGTATGCAGTTAGCATCAGAATGCAGATGTTTTAAGCTGTAAGATCCCTGGGGAGGGGATAGTTTCATTCATCTAGATTCCACAGTCACACACTGACTTACTTCTGGTAGGCATTCAGTGAGTGTAGGTGTTGAATTGGATGCAATTCAGTGGAGTGAAACTGAAAGACAGCCGGAGCCCAATACAGGAAGTCTCTCTCCCTCAGCTAAGAAGATTGCTACAATCACCTCTGCTGGATAGTTTTATGAGCACTCTTTTCCACCAGCCTGGTCCCACAGCTGTGTCAGCCCCAAATAAACACATCGACACTATACTAATTATGGATGATGGCTTGAGCTTCTTATTGGCTCGCTCTGTCTTAATTATTAACCCATTTCTACCAATCTAAATATTTCCATGTGGTCTTTTCTTACTGGAGAAAGGTCCAGACTTCTCACTCCTTCCTCTACTACATGGTGACTCCGAAGTGTCTCTGCAGAGAGGAGAGTGATTTCCTGTTTGTCCCTGCTTATATCCTGATTCTGCCCAGCTTCATCACTTCCTGTCTGTCTGAAAAGACCTCCAGACCTCTATGGTTAGCTACAACTTAATACAATCTAAAATCACCCAAAAGCTTGGACTGAGAAGTTGTCTAGATCAGGTTGGCTTGTGCTCTTGTCTGTGGGGGATTGATTGTCTTGCTAATTAACCCAGCCCATTATAGGTGGCACTATTCCCTAGGCTGGACCTGAAAAAAAAAAAAAAAACCTATTTAAGTATAAGTAGAAAACATGCAAGCGAGGATCCATTTGTTTATTCTCCTTATCCTCTTGAGTGTGGATGTGGCCCATTTAGTTTCTTCCTCAGAGTTCCTGTAATAATGTAATAATGCATCATGCCTGAAGTTGTAAACCAAATAAACCACTTTCTCCCCAAAGTCACTTTCGGTCAAGCTGCTTTACCTTGGCAACAGAAATGAAAGTAGAACATCATCCGATTGGCAGTGCCTGTTGTGTGCAGGCTTGGAAGAAAAGGAAAGGAAGTGCGGCCAATAAAGTAGAAAGTTGGGGCACCAAGAGGTCGGAGATCACGACACACCTTCACAACATGGCTGGGTGCTTCCCCTCTTCCTTGTTATCTCATCTCCATGCTCCCCACCCCAGTACACATTCTGTCATCACTAATGTCCCTCAGAATTACTTGGATGGTCTTTCAGCACATGCTTGCCACTCCCCTTTCTTCTATACCGATACAGTTGAGTGGGACTGATATCACATCTAGGTCCCCCTGTTGCTGAAGAGATCAAGAACCATTGCTATAGGCAGCTACAGTAGTTACTTTCTCCTTGATGTGACAAGACATATGACTGTAGAAACTCCCTGGAGGACAGAATGATCTAATGTGTGGTTTTAGACGATACAGTCCGTGGTGACCCATATCCTGTTTAGTTTTATTGTCAACGTGATTCAACCTGAAGTCACTTGGGAAGAGGAGACCTCAACTGAAGACTTGTCATATTGGCCTGTGGGCATGTCTCTGGGGCATTGTCTCAATTCATAATTGATGTGGGGGTTGGGAGGGGCAGCTCACTGTGTTGGTTCCATTACCTAAACCGGTGTGTAAGAAAGTTGGCTGAGCATGAGTCTGAGAGCAAACTAGTGAGCAGCACTTCTCTATGGTTTATGTTTCAGTTCCTGCTGTAGTTCCTGCCCTGACTTCTCTCACGGGTGGACCGTGACGGGGAAGTGTAAGCTAACATAAAGCCCTGAAAACTAGAGCATCAGGGAAGACACGACAGAGGTCATGGTAATGGGAGTGCCTGTCTGGTGTGGCTGGGGTGCCTTACATCCTGGTGGCCCAGGAAACAAAATGTGACCCCAATGTGGGGCCAGGCATAAACCTCAAGGCCTGCCTCCTTCCCCAAGTTAGACCCATCTCCCAAAGACTTCACAGTTTTCCCCAAAGTACCACCACTCTGTAATCAAGTGTTCATATATTGCAAGGGGATATTTCACACGTAAACCAATATACCAATACCAGTTCTTTATTATTTATCCCCCAACCTCACACTTCCAGGATGTGATATGTGGGGACACTTCAAGTCCGCTCTCAAGTCACCCCAAGACCAACTTCTCAGCACAAAGGAGATTTATTTGCCCTAGAGAGAGAGAGGGCAGGGAATAAGAGGAAAAAACCAGGAGATAGAGGACCAGAGTGGAGGGAAAGGGAAATGGGAGAGGCGGAAAAGGTATTTGCCCCAGAGGGACAAAGGACTGCCTCTAGATAAAGGGGAGACAAATGTGGTCCATAGGCAAATGGTGGCTCATAAAGGTAAAAGGTAAAGCCATATGATAGGATGAGAGGTTTAATTTTAGTTGGGCATGACAATTAGGTGAGCCAAAGGGGATTTTTGATTGCTGAACTTCAATGTTTGATACCTGGACCTTGGCAGTCAGCCTCAGGAGGAGGGATTGAACAAAATAAGGGAATAGACCTTGATGGCTAGCTTTAGGAATGTAAACTAATGGTTTTTAGCAAGGCAGAGGGGATGAGGGAGAATGGCAAGGCCTGCTAGAGCCATATTTGCCATACCCAGGCTTGCCAGAGTCCGTTTATGGCATACACTGTTCCCTCTGCCTAAAACACTCAATACTTTTTTTGTGTGTTCTCTAAGGTTAATCTAGAATTCCACATCAATGATGCTCTTTCTCGCACCATTTCCTTTTGTAACATTTGATCTTTTATGATTTATTTATTCATAAATATCTATTGAATACATGGCAATATGTCACATAATATGACAAGATCTCAGCCTGTAGCAACCATTAATTTAGTAGTAGATAATGTGGAAGAGGGGGGCTGGATTGTGAAGAGAGACATAAATAATTTTAATGCCATGTAATGCCTGGGAACTAAGACAAACAACTGGGCCTGACATATGGTAGCCATTTAGTAAAAATAAGTGAAGATGAATAAATGAAGTAGTTCTGAATTT